CGACTCGATCAACTGGAAGAAAGAGTATCTGCGATTGAGGATCAAATGAATGAAATGAAGTGAGAAGAGAAACCAAAAGAAAAAAGAAGAAAAAGAAATGAACAAAGCCTGCAAGAAGTATGGGATTATGTAAAAAGACCAAATCTACGTCTGATTGGGGTGCCTGAAAGTGAGGGGGAAAATGGAACCAAGTTGGAAAACACTCTTCAGGATATCATCCAGGAGAACTTCACCAGCCTAGTAGGGCAGGCCAACATTCAAATCCAGGAAATACAGAGAACGCCACAAAGATACTCCTCGAGAAGAGCAACTCCAAGACACATAATTGCCAGATTCACCAAAGTTGAAATGAAGGAAAAAATCTTAAGGGCAGCCAGAGAAAAAGGTCGGGTTACCCACAAAGGGAAGCCCATCAGACTAACAGCAGATCTCTCGGCAGAAACTCTCCAAGCCAGAAGAGAGTGGGGGCCAATATTCAACATTCTTAAAGAAAAGAATTTTAAACCCAGAATTTCATATCCAGCCAAACTAAGTTTCATAAGTGAAGGAGAAATAAAATCCTTTAAAGATAAGCAAATGCTTAGAGATTTTGTCACCACCAGGCCTGCCTTACAAGAGACCCTGAAGGAAGCACTAAACATGGAAAGGAACAACCGGTACCAGCCATTGCAAAAACATGCCAAAATGTAAAGACCATCGAGGCTAGGAAGAAACTGCATCAACTAACGAGCAAAATAACCAGTTAATATCATAATGGCAGGATCAAGTTCACACATAACAATCTTAACCTTAAATGTAAATGGACTAAATGCTCCAATTAAGAGACACAGACTGGCAAACTGGATAAAGAGTCAAGACCCATCAGTCTGCTGTATTCAGGAGACCCATCTCACACGCAGAGACATACATAGGCTCAAAATAAAGGGATGGAGGAAGATTTACCAAGCAAATGGAGAACAAAAAAAAGCGGGGGTTGCAATACTAGTCTCTGATAAAACAGACTTTAAACCATCAAAGATTAAAAGAGACAAAGAAGGCCATTACATAATGGTAAAGGGATCAATTCAACAGGAAGAGCTAACTATCCTAAATATATATGCACCCAATACAGGAGCACCCGGATTCATAAAGCAAGTCCTTAGAGACTTACAAAGAGACTTAGACCTCCCATACAATAATAATGGAGAACTTCAACACTCCACTGTCAACATTAGACAGATCAACGAGACAGAAAGTTAACAAGGGAATCCAGGAATTGAACTCATCTCTGCAGCAAGCAGACCTAATAGACATCTATAGAACTCTCCACCCCAAATCAACAGAATATACATTCTTCCTCAGCACCACATCGTACTTACGCCAAAATCGACCACGTAATTGGAAGTAAAGCACTCCTCAGCAAATGTACAAGAGACCAGAAATTAAACAAACTGTCTCTCAGCCCACAGTGCAATCAAACTAGAACTCAGGACTAAGAAACTCAATCAAAACCGCTCAAATACATGGAAACTGAACAACCTGCTCCTGAATGACTACTGGGTACATAAACGAAATGAAGGCAGAAATAAAGATGTTCTTTGAAACCAATGAGAACAAAGTACAACATACCAGAATCTCTGGGACACATTTAAAGCAGTGTGTAGAGGGAAATTATAGCACTAAATGCCCACAAGAGAAAGCAGGAAAGATCTAAAATTGACACTAACATCGCAATTAAAAGAACTAGAGAAGCAAGAGCAAACACATTCAAAAGCTAGCAGAAGGCAAGAAATAACTAGATCAGAGCAGAACTGAAGGAGATAGAGACACAAAAAACTCCCAAAAAATCAATGAATCCAGGAGTTGGTTTTTTGAAAAGATCAACAAAATTGACAGACCACTAGCAAGACTAATAAAGAAGAAAAGAGAAAGAATCAAATCGACGCAATAAAAAAATGATAAAGGGGATATCACCACCGACCCCACAGAAATACAAACTACCATCAGAGAATACTATAAACACCTCTATGCAAATAAACTGGAAAATCTAGAAGAAATGGATAATTTCCTGGACACTTACACTCTTCCAAGACTAAACCAGGAAGAAGTTGAATCCCTGAATAGACCAATAGCAGGCTCTGAAATTGAGGCAATAATTAATAGACTACCAACCAAAAAAAGTCCAGGACCAGATGGATTCACAGCTGAATTCTACCAGAGGTATAAGGAGGAGTTGGTACCATTCCTTCTGAAACTATTCCAATCAATAGAAAAAGAGGAATCCTCCCTAACTCATTTTATGAGGCCAACATCATCCTGATACCAAAGCCTGGCAGAGACACAACAAAAAAAGAGAATTTTAGACCAATATCCCTGATGAACATCGATGCAAAAATCCTCAATAAAATACTGGCAAACCGGATTCAGCAACACATCAAAAAGCTTATCCACCATGATCAAGTGGGCTTCATCCCTGGGATGCAAGGCTGGTTCAACATTCGCAAATCAATAAACATAATCCAGCATATAAACAGAACCAAAGACAAGAACCACATGATTATCTCAATAGATGCAGAAAAGGCTTTTGACAAAATTCAACAGCCCTTCATGCTAAAAACGCTCAATAAATTTGGTATTGATGGAACGTACCTCAAAATAATAAGAGCTATTTATGACAAACCCACAGCCAATATCATACTGAATGGGCAAAAACTGGAAAAATTCCCTTTGAAAACTGGCACAAGACAGGGATGCCCTCTCTCACCACTCCTATTCAACATAGTGTTGGAAGTTCTGGCTAAGGCAATTAGGCAAGAGAAAGAAATCAAGGGTATTCAGTTAGGAAAAGAAGAAGTCAAATTGTCCCTGTTTGCAGATGACATGATTGTATATTTAGAAAACCCCATTGTCTCAGCCCAAAATCTCCTTAAGCTGATAAGCAACTTCAGCAAAGTCTCAGGATACAAAATTAATGTGCAAAAATCACAAGCATTCTTATACACCAGTAACAGACAAACAGAGAGCCAAATCATGAAATGAACTTCCATTCACAATTGCTTCAAAGAGAATAAAATACCTAGGAATCCAACTTACAAGGGATGTAAAGGACCTCTTCAAGGAGAACTACAAACCACTGCTCAGTGAAATAAAAGAGGACACAAACAAATGGAAGAACATACCATGCTCATGGATAGGAAGAATCAATATAGTGAAAATGGCCATACTGCCCAAGGTAATTTATAGATTCAATGCCATCCCCATCAAGCTACCAATGAGTTTCTTCACAGAATTGGAAAAAACTGCTTTAAAGTTCATATGGAACCAAAAAAGAGCTCGCATCTCCAAGACAATCCTAAGTCAAAAGGACAAAGCTGGAGGCATCACGCTACCTGACTTCAAACTATACTACAAAGCTACAGTAACCAAAACAGCATGGTACTGGTACCAAAACAGAGATATAGACCAATGGAACAGAACAGAGTCCTCAGAAATAATACCACACATCTACAGCCATCTGATCTTTGACAAACCTGAGAGAAACAAGAAATGGGGAAAGGATTCCCTATTTAATAAATGGTGCTGGGAAAATTGGCTAGCCATAAGTAGAAAGCTGAAACTGGATCCTTTCCTTACTCCTTATACGAAAATTAATTCAAGATGGATTAGAGACTTAAATGTTAGACCTAATACCATAAAAATCCTAGAGGAAAACCTAGGTAGTACCATTCAGGACATAGGCATGGGCAAAGACTTCATGTCTAAAACACCAAAAGCAATGGCAGCAAAAGCCAAAATTGACAAATGGGATCTAATTAAACTAAAGAGCTTCTGCACAGCAAAAGAAACTACCATCAGAGTGAACAGGCAACCTACAGAATGGGAGAAAATTTTTGCAATCTACCCATCTGACAAAGGGCTAATATCCAGAACCTACAAAGAACTCAAACAAATTTACAAGAAAAAAACAAACAACCCCATCAAAAAGTGGGCAAAGCATATGAACAGACATTTCTCAAAAGAAGACATTCATACAGCCAACAGACACATGAAAAAATGCTCATCATCACTGGCCATCAGAGAAATGCAAATCAAAACCACAATGAGATACCATCTCACACCAGTTAGAATGGTGATCATTAAAAAGTCAGGAAACAACAGGTGCTGGAGAGGATGTGGAGAAATAGGAACACTTTTACACTGTTGGTGGGATTGTAAACTAGTTCAACCATTATGGAAAACAGTATGGCGATTCCTCAAGGATCTAGAACTAGATGTACCATATGACCCAGCCATCCCATTACTGGGTATATACCCAAAGGATTATAAATTATGCTGCTACAAAGACACATGCACACGTATGTTTATTGCAGCACTATTCACAATAGCAAAGACTTGGAATCAACCCAAATGTCCATCAGTGACAGATTGGATTAAGAAAATGTGGCACATATACACCATGGAATACTATGCAGCCATCAAAAAGGATGAGTTTGTGTCCTTTGTAGGAACATGGATGCAGCTGGAAACCATCATTCTTAGCAAACTATCACAAGAACAGAAAACCAAACACCGCATGTTCTCACTCATAGGTGGGAACTGAACAATGAGATCACTTGGACTCAGGAAGGGGAACATCATACACCGGGGCCTATCATGGGGAGGGGGTAGGGGGGAGGGATTGCATTGGGAGTTATACCTGATGTAAATGATGAGTTGATGGGTGTAGCACACCAACATGGCACAAGTATACATATGTAACAAACCTGCACGTTATGCACATGTACCCTACAACTTAAAGTATAATAATAATAAATAAATTAAAAAAAAATAAAAAAAAAAATACCTAGACATTTGCTGATGAATTTAATAGGGTTTTAAATTTGAAAATGGTTTCTTTCTCCTTTCCCCTCCTGCTTGGAAACTAAGAAAGCATTAGGTCATATAAGAAGCCCAAACCAAAGGAGTTAGGGTCTCTACAACACACATGTATTAATACGAAGAGACTGAGAAGCCTAAGGTACCACCCTGCAGCCTGAGGACTGAGAGGCCACTGCAACTGCAGATTTTTGTCTCTCTTGCTGAAGAGGTATCTTTGCAGTCTCTGGAGAAAGCTCAGGTAGCCGTTTGTGGCTTTCAGGATCCTGTCCTGAAAGGGGAGCTATCTGTATGGAAAGAAATGCTGTGTGTGTCTCAGGCACTGGATTAGGGGTCAGTGAGCAGGGCCTTTTGAGAAATGATGGTACTTCAACAGATTTGGAAAACTGTGGAGTATTAATGGGGCTGCTACTTCCTAGATCCTTGTTATGGGTTAGTTTCAAGGTAGAAATCCTCCGCGTTTGAGAATCTTGCCTGTAGTCCTCTTGTAGAACTGGGGTGTTGATGTTAGTGAATGGTGCAGGATCCATGCTGGAAGTTGCTGGTAGTGGATTAGTGATTTTTTGTGTATACGACATGGTTGTGTTAGATTCTTCAGAATATACAATTGTCTGTCTCGAATCTTCATTGGAATACATAGTTCCCTGAGGAAGTTTTTTGTTAGCAAAGTACTCTGTATTGGAGGGAATTTGTGTGTTAGTTACTAACTGGTCTAAAATGACACCCTTTGTGTGACTGGTTATCAAAGAGCTATGAAAGCTCTCTTTTCTGTCTGGTGGAGGGGGTGCCTGGATTGACAATGGGATCCAGAGAGAGAAATAAAGTTGAAAGAAAAACAGAGAAAGTCCAAGTTAGTCATGAAAGAAACCAGTGTCAACCTTGCCTTTACAGAAGTAAAGCAATGCCACACCTTCTAATTATGCTATCCATTTTGTTAGCTAGATTGAGTGATCATTTTCATTCCCTTTAGAATGCACTTACATTTATTATCAATGTTTGCCCTTAGGGGAAAAAAGTGTTTCCAGAGAATACATTATAACCTTTGCTCCACCTACATTCTGGGAAATTATGTTAAAAGTGAACATGTGTTCTCTTGGCATATTTTTATTAGACTTTGAAATATATATATATATGGTTTGTTTAATAGCATTGTTTTATAACAATTTTCATGCTTGGGGCATAATTTTACTAATATCTCCAACACAGAGCTCCTTTAGTTAATATAATAGTTGCATACTCATAATTATTGAATACATAATGTATTGCTGACCTCATCAGTTTAAATCCAAAGCATCAGCTGTCAGCTTTTAAAGAATTAGAATATATGCTAGAGATTATGTTAGAAACTGATATACTTTTACGAGCTTAATCAGAAACAAAACCAAACCAAACCCTTGTTTGTTAAAATTTGTTCTCCATGTTGTAAATACAAGCCTGGCAAGTAAACTAAATACAAAAGGAAAAACATATTAAAAATAAAACATGTATTGAAATATGCACACTAAGAAAGAAGCTGTAAGCAGTGGTCTTTATAATAATCATGCCTTAAAATAATACAGTAGACAAGAGTGTGCAGGGTTACCTGAGTTGGTGATCTTTTATCTTGTAGGTTTGGTCGAACGCTTCTAAAACCTTTTGCTGCAAGAGAGGAATATGTAGCATCTCCGTTCAGTGTCTCTTGATTGCCATCATTGTAAGATCTCCAAGCTTTCATTAAGGGAAAACAATTGGATACAAAAATATCTACGTTCACTTAAACATTTTTTATAAAATTTATTTTTATTTCCAAAATTGTAGTGTTCTTAATAGAGGTGTAATTTAATATGCATAACAGTATATGAAATTTAAATTTAACATGAAGTCAGCACATGTGGCTACGAATATGTTTTTTAAAAGTCACAAATAATGTAATAGTTATTCAGAATATTTTTTCTGTACCTGAGTCTGGTGACTGAGAATCACGGCCTGAAAGAAAAAAAAAATGTTGAAATGAAGACTAAGGTGAAATAAATTAATAACCCAGTAAAAATAACATGGCAAAGAACTATATGCATTATTTTTGCAAACATTATTTCAGTTTTAAAATCTGGGTATGTCCAACATGCCAAAGGGAGGCTTGTACATTTATTCTTACTTCAATTAGAATGTCATTCATTAAATATCTATAATATATAAAATCTATATGGCAAACACTAATTTTTCCTGTCAATGATGTTGTAACATGCCATTTTAATCTTATTTATGGCCAAAAATGAATATGTGAATTTCTAAACATCAAATTAAAGGATCAAAAGAGATCTGGTTTATAAACAGCACTAACTCAAACCACCAGATCCTTAACTTTCAATGCCCTGCTGTTGATAAGCATATTTAACTCCTGGGTTAGAGAACTGTACTCTGTAGTTTGCATTTTTTTTTAACCTTAGGAAACTGTAGACCTGTCTACCGTATCATGTGACATTTTCAAATTATTCTCGAGACTGAGTTTTTTTCTTATTGCCTTATAAAAGTCATTTTACACTCAAATATGAAAGAGCTATTGCAATATGTTCCACTGTCTTTCAGCTAGTAAGCTGTGGAAAATACATTTCAGTACTAATAAATTGCTTTTGGTAAGGCAGTTGGCAAGTTATCGGTGATATATTTGTTATCAATTTTATTGAAGTTACATATTCCAGAATCTTCTATATGCAAATTTGAGGTAATCAGTTGGCACGTTTAACTCATGTATATTTGAAGTCATCAGCTTGTGTTGCCTGGTTTATTAAAGCACATGGTCAACTTTACTTAGATTCATTAAGCTTTTAGCCCAACCTGCTGTCTAGTCCTGGATTCCTTCTGCGTGTCCCCAGGACCATTATTAGATTCTCATTTCAATTCATAAAACAGGAACTTTACATGCTGAAAAAGTCTTTGTTTTTCTTTTAATGCTTCAGAATAGTTATTTTCAAGTTTAAACACAAGAATTTAGAATGATAAAAATGGGTTGAGAAATGCAAGCATCTGATTTTTAGATAAAATATTTGATATGGATTCTTTCCAAATCAAAGAAAGAAACACAAATGTGAGTCAGCACAGAGTATATTAGAATGATCCCAGCCCAGGTGAGCCAGAGAAGACTAATAAATTCCCATTCTTTATGATCATTGATAACCGTATGGATTTTATTTCCAATGAATTTAAAATTAGAGTAATAAAATGGGTACCATAGAGAAAAATCACTTTGATGAATTATGCATGAAATACTTATTGGATCCTACTTCTAGAATTTGTACAATTTTTACAATTTTATTTTATTTTTTAAAGATGTGGTCTTGCTATTTTGTCCAGGCTGTCCTTGAAATAGTGGGCTCAAGAGATCCTATAGACTCAGTCTTTTGGTTAGCTGGGGCTACAAGTGTGTGCCACTGGGCCTGGCCCTCCTTCTAGGATTTGATGGAAGCAGAAATGATTGAAATTCTTTACCAGTTATATGATGAAGATAAAGAAAAACACAGTTTGGCAATATAGAGCAATCATCAGAATTCTGTTTTGGGGCACTCAGGAGAGAGATTTAACAACCACGAGGCTGCCATTCACTGTGGACAATGAACAAATTTTGGGATTTGGGAAAGGACAATGAAAAATAAATTTTGGGATTGGGGAAGAGGCAATAAAATCGCCCAAAGCTCCTTTATGAGAAGAGAAGCAGCATTAATAACAATGATTATATTCTGATTATTTTCTTGAGTATAGAGAGTTTCTTTTATGCTTGGTTTGGTAAAACTGAGATAAAAAAGAAGGCGTGCGGTATGTGCTGGGGACGAGGTAATGGGAGCCAGAGGCTTGGAGGTGCAAGGGGTGCGGGTGTGGTGAGAAAGAAGAGGGTGTACTGGGCAGGTCTGAAGGACACTGGAAATAAACTCCCTCTAATAGTCTGTAGGGGGCAGGCTCTGTTTCTTCACGCTGGTCACCGTGTTGAAGACGATGGAGCCCCAGGAAACGGTAAGCATGAGAATCAGAGGACAGTCACTCCAGGCTCAACTGTGGGTCTCTTCCTGGGACACTGGGCCCAGGGATTTCCAAATGAATCTGTCCCTGTGCCACTGGAAACATTACAGTAAGAGTGGTGGGCTGTGCTAAGGGCCTTGCATCACACAGTGGACACGTGTGTGCAGAATTAAGAGAAAGGAGAAAATGGCCATGAATTTGAACTTCAGGATGAACCAATATTTTAATAAAGCTTATGTGGATGATTAAAGCCTGCCTTGAAGTGGGTGGTCTTTCAAGGAGACTAAAGTACATATCATTTGTCTTTCTTTAAAATAAATCCAATTACAGATACTTGGAACACCCAGTCCTGATTTGCTCTTTATTACAGTCTCCTATATGGACACTGTTTAGCATAGCTCTGCTTTTATTTTATCCCTGCAGGAAAGCCTAGGAGAGGGAGGACACCTGTTCTTTGGGGCAGGTAATAGAAAGTATCATGGATCCATGTCAAGTAAAGAGAGCATAGGTTAGGAAAAAAAAAAAAAGAGTCGGTCAGGTAAATGGCTTAGCAGATGTGTGGGGAAAATGGTTTTCCCCCAAATCTGCAACATTCTTGATGCACATTCACTTGTTAAAAAAACACACAAAGCTAGGACTAGGGGCCTGAGTCCTTCATGTTTAGTGTTCTTTAGTAGATAGTCACTGCTTCACTGATAATCCACTAATGACTAAATGGTGTACGTTTTTCCCTTTCCTGGCTGTTTTGCATGTGAATATTTTAACAAATAGGGTCTTGAAGAATGAAGACCTCCACATGCTCTTACCAGCACTTTTCCTTGTATCGAGGCGCAAACTAGTGAGTATCTGTCTGGAATTGTGTGCAAGACATTCCTGGTTCCATGTCAGGGGTGGAACTGAATGCCCTCAATGGCCCTTTCCACTGTTATGATTCTAACATGACAGCTTTTATGTAGCTGTGTTTGTGGTACGTGTCGCAGCATAGCCTCGCCTCTCAGGTTTTATTTAAATCCCTTTTAACTGATGTGCTATACTGACACTATCACTTATACTTTTCTTGAAAATTATTTTGATGCCTATAACTCATTTCTTTAGAAGACTCAAGTGTTTTTCAAGAACTATTTTGAAATGTTGATTAAATTCAAGTCAACTAATTGAGTGCCTACTGTGTTTCTATGTACAAGTATAACTCTTTTCATTTATTTTCTTCATTTACTCTCATTTATTCTGACAAATCCTTGTGAGCCTGGGAAACGATTAAGCTTTCAGAGAGGTAAGAAAATGACAAACATTTTTTCTTTTGAAAAAAAGGAAATGAGATCTAGACAGACTAATTTTCTTAAGGGCATAAAACATGCAGGTGGTATTGACAAGACCCTGCCTCTTGGCAGAGTGGTCCCCATACTGCAACAGGCCACTCTTGCCAGCGTTCCTTTAGGCTGCCAAGTGGTTTTGGTGAAATAAAATGTTTTTCATTGTTTCTCAATAGTCATTGTCTTGGTTCTAGCATAGGTTTAAAATATCCATGTGTGCTCTGATGGATTGTCCAGTGGGAATTTACTTCTTATAAAAGGAAAAGAGAAAGACAGAATGACTCAGGGACAAAGAGGTGATGACTCAGATTGACTCTCTGATCTGAGAAGGGAGTGAAAATGGCCGGGGACCTTTTGTGGAGGTTTTACATAAAGGTCCCCGGCCTTTTGTAACAAATTACAAAATTGTTGTATTTTAACAATATCAAAGGCAATAAATATTTATCAATTCCCTTTTGATTCACATAAAGACACTGTATCATATAAGTTCTTATGAAAGCTACATAGAATGCAGTTGTGCATATTAATGCTGACTTCTTTATTCAAAAATGTAATGGAAACTTCTTTGAAAAAGGGGGCCAGGTGTGGTGGCTCATGCTTGTAATCCCAGCACTTTGGGAGGCCAAGGTGGGCAGATCACTTGAGGTCAGGAGTTCGAGACCAGCCTGGCCAACATGGTGAAACCAGGTCTCTACTAAAAAAATACAAAAATTAGCCAGGCATGGTGGCAGACACCTGTAATCCCAGCTACTCAGGAGCCTAAGGCAGGAGAATGCTTGAACCTGGGAGGCAGAGGTTGCAGTGAGCCGAGATCGTGCCACTGCACTGCAGCCTGGAACACAGAGCAAGACCCTGCTCATCTCAAAAAAAAAAAAACAAAAAACAAAAAAAAACTTACTTTATGTCTAATTGACACAAAAAAAGGCTGTTTTTAAACAATTATGTCCAAAATTCAGTGGACTTCATTCTCTAGAAACCTTACTCCTAGTGATAGAAAACTTAAAATAACCGAAAGCTACATTGTTATTACTGAAGATTATTTCATATTCTTGAAGTGCGAATTATTATTTTTTTTTTGCTGTTGTAATTTTGAAGCGTTAAATCTTTTCTATTAAGTCGAGTTATATGAAATTGCGTGTATTCAGATAACTCTCCACATTGGCACTGTCGAAGCAGTGTGCCATGCCCTGGCATATGCAGCAAGGTTCACGTCTGAGTAGGCTGGGCGGAGATCCTATTTGGTTGAAATGTCGATGACATTCAGGGTATTGGCATTCCAATTACACGATGGCCCTGAACTCTTAACATTTATTGTCTTACTTGCCTTCCTTCCTGTTTCCCATAGTATCCAATGTAAACACATCTGTAGTTTTTCTAACACCTTTTTGTGTTTATACATGCATGAGCCAATACATACAAATAGAGATTTGTAGAAAGATGTTTTTTAACCAAAATGAGGTCATACTATAAACCTTGTGCATTTTCTTTTAACTTAATATATAACTGAACTCACTAGCCGGGCATTTAAACTTGGACGTTGAAATCCATTGTGGATTAGAGGTGGTGATGGAAGTGGGATTCTCCATATGAAAGTCCGTTTTTGTTTTTGTTTTTTTTTCTCTAGAGAAACTCAGTAGTTTAGAATTAAGTGACTGTAAAGCGAAGACCACCGTGAGTATTTAATCAACTGCTAGATGTATGTGTGTAGAAGACTGTGATATGCGTAGTGAGAATTAAAATTATTTAAAGACTCCCCATCCCTTTCTCACTTCTGCTGTAAGATCCATTAATCTTATAAATAAAAGACAAGCAATCCCCAAACTGCAACTAACCAACCAGCCAGCCAACCAACCAGTCACCAACAGGTGTGGGTCTATTTCAGGGTCTGGAGGCACTGGGCTTGCTGGCCTCCCTCCGACCTTCTAACAGCTGCACCCCCTCCCAGTGCAGACTGTGCCTAACTTAGGTACTGTGCCTAACTTTGGTACTGTGCCTTAGGTAGTCACAACAGAGATTTATTATAAAGAGACCACCTGAGTGGATGCTGAAATCTCGCGTCCCCAGTGACTTCCTATCTGTGGGCGCATGTTAATCTTAATTAGTCAAGATTTTGTTATGTTTAAATATATATATTAGAAGGGTCTTTGCTGACTGGATTAAAGGAAAGCAAAGGTGTCTTTCAAAACTAATGTTCTATCATTCTGTTCGTAACCTTTGACAAAGAATCCAGTTAATGAAGATTCAGTTTCCTACAAATCCCTTTTTCATCCTGTACCCTTGTACTCCTACCCCAACAGTTTTTAGGTTAAAAAAAAAACCCGAAAAACCTCTGAGTTATCTTAATGAAATATTATGTTACTTAAGTTCATGAGATAACAAAAACTTAAATAGTTATTAACACTTGCGGTTACTCAAACTATTTTTGGCAAGTGACTGTTGTTTTTAATTATACATTTGAAATGTTTCCTACAAGATCTCATTTTCCTTTGCTTTTTATGTTTAGAACAAAAACAGTCAGAAGAGCTAGAAGCCATTCAAGTGCGACATTCTGTGAGTTAGTGATATTATACCTGCAGCCAATAGGTTTGGAGAACTTTGCACTCTCTTCACAGATGTTAGCGTAACAGACATGGCGGCACGTTTGCGAGCACACCCACCGCTATCTGGAAGCAAAAAAAATGATATAGCAGAGGCCAAGGCAACGGGAAAAGCACGTGCAGTATCATGCATTTTAAGTGAAATGTGCCAGACATCCATGAGAAAGATGAACAGTTAGAATTAGTAACCATGGAATGCACCTGCCAATTTCACACCACCCTCAAACTAAAACAAACAAAATGAAGCAAAACAAAGGAAGATCAGGGATCTGTCTTAGAAATTGGTGTCACTGTTTTAGTGAAAGCATGGAAGACTTAATACTTAACATTTTATGGTTTTCTTTGTGAAAACTCAGGCACAGAACTCAATCTTGTTTATACCATTTAAATTCAATTTATACTAAATCTATAGGCATTGGAGCTGGCTTTCAGAGTCAAGGATCAGCTCTATGTCAGGATTAAGGGCTACGGTACAACACACTTTTAAGTTAATATCATTTAAGTTTTACCATCTTCTAGCTGTTATAATTCCCAAAGAGAGCTTGAATAATTCTTGCAGTAAAAATTATTAGTGACACAGGTATGATATATTTTTGAGGATTCACAGAGGAACACATGGCATTATGGAAAGTCCATTCTTCCTGTGGTTATTGTTAGTTATGCAAATAACTAGCCTTATTAAAATAAAAGTATTGCTATATATGGTATTGAAATGACCATGTTTAAAGAAAGGAGTATATTGCTTTTACTTTTCAAATTTTTATTTTTAGAGCTGGGTCTTGCTCCATCCCCCAGGCTGGAGTGCATCATAGCTCATTGCTGTCTCAACCTCCTGGGCTCAATCAATCCTCCTGCCTCAGTCTCCTGAGTAGCTAGGACCACAGGCACACACTGGCTCACGTTTTAACTTTTTGTAGAGACGTGGTCTTGCATGTTCCCCAGGCTGGTCTCAAACTCCCTGGCTCAAGTGCTCTTTTCACCTCGACCTCCCATTACAAGCATGAGCCACCACACCTGGCCTCATTTATTGCTTTTATACTTTTAACAATATGTGTACTATGATTCATATATTTAAACTTATGCAAGTCATAATGTGAAATAAAATCTGTGTAAGTTCATCAGTCATTTTAATGTGCTATGAGAAGTTTAGACTTCTAAATTTGGAAGAGAAGTCTTTTAAAATTGGAAGGCCAATGTTCTATTTATGACCAGATTCAAATTCCACTCTTACATTCCTCTGTAATATGGTATGTGCAATAAATAGTTTTGCTCATTCTCCTCATTCTGCTTATTAAGTAAAACCAAATTAAATTAAATCTTTTTGAAAGTTATAAAAAAAAAGACAATATAACCACCGATATAGTAACATAATCATGATATATTGTGACATGTCCATTTTTCCTTTTTCTTTATTTTCATAGGGAAAGTATCAATTTGTTTATTGGACATGACAGAATTTAGATGAGTAAAGATGCTTGGAAGGATAATTCAAATGAATTTTTTATAAAATTTGTAAATAGTAAGATTAATAGAACTTAAAATCAGTGGAGTAATTCTTATATCAAAACTTCACTTTTTAAAAGTATATGTTTAAAGTAACAATTTCTTAATGTAGAAAATCATTAAACCAGAAAACCAACTTGAAAGAATATTAAAAGAAAATGAAGTAAATAAATCAAACATTATAATTAAGAACCCAAAGAAAGTGACACAAATGGTAGAAACAACTGAAGATTCCTTCAGGACAGGTTCCAAAAGGATTTCAGCAAACTCAGCAAACTGAAAGTGCTTAGAGACAAGGGTGTCTGATAAGATGGAGGAAATGTTATTGCTTCCAGGAGCTGTGAACTGGTTAAAATGGTTGTGTAGTCAAAGGTGTTGAAAGTGAAAACGGACATCACTCTAAAAGTGATTTTATTTCCTAGTTCTATTAATTCTGAACATCTAACAAGCACATAGGTGAAAAGAGAAAATTCCAGAATGAGAAGATCTAGGGTCACAGGTTAAACCTCTGGTGTCCACCCTGTGGGCTGAGATGCCCTGGGCTGCGCCGTAAATCCGCAAGGGTGTTGGGGGACACTTCCTGTTTTAAGGAAAACACAGTGCTAACTGTTGGACCCTCGGCTGAGATACCGTGGGCTGCGCTGTGAATTCCCAAGGGTGTTGGGGACACTTCCTGTTTTGAGGAAAACACAGTGCTAACTGTTGGACCCTCGGCTGAGACGCCCTGGGCTGCGCCGTGAATCCGCAAGGGTGTTGGGGGACATTTCCTGTTTTGAGGAAAACACAGTGCTAACTGTTAGACGCTCCAGGAATTGCTTGCTTGGGGCAGTGCACGGTTTCAGCGTAATAGATGTGCTGTATTCCTTTTGATGACATCATATTTTTAAAAAACTGGGATTTTGATAGTTGCTGTGATAAAACGCAAGTACCCTCTGAAGAACATTTTATTTATTTATGTTTAGAGACAGGGTCTTGCTCTGTTGCCCAGGCTCGAGGGCAGTGACGCACTCGGAGCTCACGGGGCTCAAGCTGATCCTCCTACCTCAACTTCCCTCATCGCTGGGATTACAGGCACATGCCACCACACCCAGCTAATTTTTAAAAATTTTATAGAGATAGGGTCTCACTATGTTGCCCAGGCTTGTCTCCAACATCTGCAGTCAAGCAATCCTCCTGGCTCAGCCTCCCAAAATGCTGGAATTACAGGCGTGAGCCACTGTGCCTGTCTGGCCTATAAAACATTTTAGATCAGTAAATGAGAGTGGCCATGAACAATCTAATTCTGAGGTCTGAGAAATTTTTCAGTGTGCAACAGGCACACACATATTATTAGTAAGTAATTCGTGTTATAAAGAAGGAAATAAAACTATTTTCTTTCAATTTATGTGTATTATTTTGTCAAATGGCTTCTAAGTTGTTAGAACAAAATATTTCTAAAGTAATTATTAAGTTATTAAGTTGTTAGCACCTAACTACTTAATAAATAGAAGTGTTACGTATTTTTGGCCTAGGAGCACAATGAAAAAATTACTGAGACATTAAAGGTCACTGTAAACCAAGAAAGTCTGGGAATCTTTGCCAATTTATGTACTTTAGGAAGCTCCAAGTCCTAGATGAAATAAATGGAGACTCTGTCTTTAATAAAGTTTAATAAAGAGCTGAATTCTAAAACTCGAGGCATTTGTAAAATTGCTGGAACAGAATAATCTATTATATTCTGTTTCTACTTCCTTATGTATTGATACTTTCTGATACTCCTTGAAGATATTTTTAAGATCTTAAAACGAGGATGCTACCTTTCATATGTCGGTTTATCCTAAAGAATCCTAATGCTGGTTTTGCCTTTGGTCCTCATTAATGACCTACAGCCTGGCTGGGCTACTCTTCCCCTGAGCTGCAAGATTCCTGGAAGCTGTTCCTACTGCTGGAAACCACTCATATGGGTAAATTATACATGGAGAATTATTTGATGTCTTTCCTTCTCTCCTTTCTTTGATAGCTAAGATATGCCTAAGAAAGTAATGGGTTAAAAATTCTAAAAGTGGACATATAACATGTTTTGTATATTTTTTCTACATTGTTTAAACACTTTAGTATGAAAAATTAACCGCATTCCCCATGGCTAGTTTATTATGTACTGATTAAAAGCAAATACTTAAAAGAATGCTTTTTAACCGTAGTGACTGACACATGAAGATTTAAATAGGAATATATCTTTTTAATAATTGATATATTGGATAGATATATGAATCAAGAAAGATATATTCTTGTTTAAATGAATATTGATATCAATAAGACTGGCCTGTATCATCTTATCTATATAATCTATTTGCGTTATCTATCCATATATTATCTGCATTATCTATTTATCGATATTTTCTATCAATAGATAGAAAGATAGATAGACAAAAAAGAAGAACTAGAAGCTATTTTGGGGACTAGAAAAATAACTTGTGGGGCCACTTTATTCATCTCTGTCTGTCTGTCTGTCTATCTATCTATCTATCTATCTATCTATCTATCTATCATCTGCCTATCTGAAGATAGATAATGCAGGCCAGTTTTTTTACTAGCTCTTTAGGAACAAATTCCTACTTCATTTTGTAAACACAGTAACAATGCTTTCAAATTTCAAAGGCAATATATGTGTGTATACATATACATATATATTTAAAAGTGGTATGTTTTTGTAAAAACATTATAATTATTATTTTGGAATTTTGAGCAAAAGTTTTCAGTCACTTTTGATCAATTTTATGCACAGGTTTGAATACCATATTTGCCAATCATTGTACATAAGTGGAAGTTCATCCACATAAGCGAAATAACCCTATGCAAACTGCATCCCATCCTGAGTCAAGCTCACTCCTTAGAAATGAGAAGATACTTTAGAGGGTTACATTTGTGCTGCTAAACAGTAACTTGGCTCAAGTACCTTAGTGACTGAAACAAATTGGCAAATTTTTATGTGCTTACTTTGCTATGAGGGATTGAATTATATGAATAGGAAGGTCAATTATTGAATGTACTGCACATGAACACAGTATATTCAGTATATTCAGTATATCATGTATGCATATCTCTGTCATAATAGGGTTATAATAGATAGGAAAATGGGCACTCAGTAAAATGAGGAATACTGGGAAGTTATGATCCACTTACGTCTACAGGGAGATGTCTTGGAAGGATCAGGAAAGATCACTTCCTCATGTGAAACTTCTGCTGGAGTGACTCTGTAGCTCCAAAACGTGGCTGATGCTAATCCAGCTGTGGGCTCTACATTCTATTTGCTTTCTTTTGTCTCCTTTACCTAGTACTATTTTCTACTTCATTCCCCATGTCTAATTCTGGCATCTCCAATCATCAAGATGCCCTTGTGTGGTGCATTTGCAGGGTTACAACTTCTCTTGATTGCTGAGCCTTCCTTGTGTGTTTTGACTGTCTCCAGTATCCTCATCTTGCCTGTTGTCCACTTGTCTGCAAGGTGACAGCATCCTCAGGGGCCTGCCCACACAGCCTTCTCTGAGGCCACTATGGTACATGGCACATGGCACAAGGCTCTGCACTCAACCTGGGGATTAGGTATTGGTCCTCGCCAGTGGTTGGATAATCCTCCTGTAGGCACTTTGATGCAACAAGAGACCTCAAAAAGGCAACCAGCTGGACATAAGAGAATATCTTGGGCCATCCTTTCTACTCTGCCATGGGGTGACGGCTCCAACAACTTTCCAGTGATCTCTTGTGGATAGGAAATTTCAACACAAGTTACAAAATCTCAATGAGAAAGTTGTTTCTTGAATTACTTAATATTGTATATTTCAAGGAGGGGGGAAGGCAAAATTATAAGCCAAATTATGTCTACTGTGGAAAAAAGTTCATATGTACAAAGTCTGTATCATGAACACTTTTACAGTTAAAATGTATACAATACAGTTTAGAGGCACAGTTGTTAAGCTAGTTGGAGATACTATTCTCACATCTACACATATAATGCTTATAACACTATGTGAATTGTGACTATAGGTTAATTAAGCTGACTTTGTATAAAACTTTGGCACTCTCTCTGCTGACTTCTTCAACATAGTTTATAAAACAGATACGTTTAAGTAGTTTCTACTAGAGCAACGTGCCTTTGAATTTAGCCTATTTTTAAGTGAGAGATTTCAAAAGTACACAAACAAATGACATACTACCTCTTCCAATTGTTTAGAGGAGTTCGTTTTAACATGTGATTAGAGACAAAGGGAGTAGGAGCAAGTAACAGAACAGAAAATTCTATGTTTGGTGGCCATAAGAGTGGAGTACAAATACAAAGAGAGAAAGTAATGAATCTACGCTACGTATCTAATCAGAAACTCAGAATCACACCTAGGATCAGTGGAGTGCTAAGCTAATGATTGAGGGCCAACATGATTTTTAGAGAGCAAGGCTCAAAGAGTTGAAAACTAACAGACAGCATACCTGTGTTCATTTTGACCTTGGAGAGTTTGTTATTAAAGTCTTCAGTTTTCCTGTAGAAAAAAAAACGGTGCATAATTTGTTCGCTAGCATGTGAAGAAAATATCATGAAAGCGTGTCTTGCTTTTGATGTACCTGTAAGTTAATATCACATTATCATTAGTTTTATTTAAATCAGTGTTTAATAAGGTAGGAAGAATTGATAATTTTCTTCATGTTAAACTTTAATTATTGGTCCTATGATCATAAAACAGATCATATTCTGTTTTTATGCTTTTGTTTTATGGTGAGCATTAATGGATGAAAATGGAGAAGTTTTGTGCTTGTTTGTTTCTTTTTCTTTTTATTTTCTTTTCTTTTTTTTTTTTTTTTTTTTTTTTTTTGAGACGGAGTCCCTCACTGTCACCCAGGCTGGAGTGCAGTGGTGTGATCTTGGCTCACTGCAACCTCCACCTCCTGGGTTCAAGCAATTCCCCTGCCTCAGCCTCCTGAGTAGCTGGGATTACAGGCACATGCCACCATACCCAGCTCATTTTTTGTATTTTTAGTGGAGATGGGGTTTCACTATATTGGCCAGGCTAGTCTTGAACTCTTGACCTCTTGATCCACCTGATTCGGACTCCCAAAGTGCTGGGATTACAGGCGTGAGTCACCTTGTCTGGCCTGTTTGTTTCTTTTTCAGAGAGAGAGGGTTGTGCTCTGTTACCCAGGCTGGAGTGCAGCTGGTGTGATCATAGCTCACTGCAGCCTTAATCTCCCGGACTCAAGCCATCCTTCCCCCTGGAATTACAGGTGTGAGCCACTGTGCCTGATTGAGTTTTCTTTTTAAAAAATTAAATTTCTTTTACAAATATTTATACAAATGGTTGTTGTTCTCTAAGCCTGATATGACTATCTGTTAAGTGTACTCTTCTGGAGTTTTAAAAGTTACCCTGGCACTTTAAAATCATTGCCTTACATGTGCTGGTCTATTTACTACCGGGAATATGTAATGAAAGTAACACATATTTTGAGGGCACTGTCAAGAAAGATGAGATTCATCTGTCTCTTTTTTTAAGACACAGGAAATAGATGGTTACTACAAAACCCATTTCTGCATTAGTATTGAACACTGATTTTTCCCAGTGAAATGCTGGATGCATAGCAATTGAGATTAATTCACTAGATATGGTTGGCAGCAAGGGCTTGTCTCAGAAAAATGTTTTAAATATTATGTATCGTTTTACAACATGTGAGATGACTTAGTTCTTTCTCTGGTATATTCTCTTAGTCCATTTATGGAGTTTCCTATTTATCCATACTCTGAGACCAAAGAGGAAACACATGCTGATAAGGAAGCAAATCTCCTAAGTCTCAGAGCTCCCTGCAAGAGCCGTCTGACCCCGGCCACTTGGCCTTTGCTCCTGAGTGGGCCTGTTGTTCAGGATCCACGAGAATCTCCCCCAGCACGACACACTCACGGCTTCCAGGAGCATTAGTACTGCAACATCTGACCATTTTCAAGACTTTTATTTATTCCTTTTGGATGAATGAGGATAACTTTGAAAAGAAATCATTGGCATGATCACCTGTCATGAAAGACTTTTCATAAATATAGTTTTCTCAGTCTCTAAAAAGAGCAGCAAATGAGCTTCCTGGCTTTCTTGCCTTTGTCTGCCAAGGTTCTCACCCTCTTCTCCTTTCTGACCATTTCCTCTGCTCAATTCGACAACTATTATTTTCTTTCAATGTGGCTATCTGATTCACCTCTTATGGAAAGCCTGACTTTGTTCATTACTGAGGTAAAATTATAATAATAAAATCAAAATGTGAATTTTAGCTAAATATAATGGTACTTCTCTCCCAGTGGGGGGAAAACGATGAAATAAAATAACATTAAAAATATACTTAAGTCCTATGAAATATAATTATAAAGCAAGATTTTATATATAGATATATATATGTATAATGTAATCCTCATTTTGCTATATACACATGTATATGTACACACACACATACATATATTTGCCTAGATTGAATTACTAATACCTTAGGACTCAATAAATGCTAAATTAATGAACATTTAAAATGGGCAAAATCACAGTACTGATAATCACCTCAATATATGTTTTTAGAGCTCTAAGCTGAAAACAATATAGATGATATCCTTGCTATGTGGTGTTTAATTTTTGTGTAGTCTGTGTTCAGTGTCATATCCTTGCCCGTCTGCCCGAGGCATCGTTGCAGTGTCGGGAGCAGGGCAGGAGCCATGCTTAGTGTGGCCAGGCCAGAACTGAGTTTCCACAGGGTTACGGGGAACTTCACAGTGACATGTCATAGGCCAACAGACTCTGAAAAATGATGGAGGGAAATTTTATGATGATAAATTTTATCTCCTATTTTTCAGTGTATGCAACTAAACAGGCGCATTTCTGTTTTACTTGGTTGTTTTGTTTTTCTCCAGAATTACACAGAAAAATGTGGCATATTTCTAAAAACTCAACTTGGTCGCCTTAGGACCGCCTATATTGAGGGATACCAATGAGGTCAGGGCAGAGGGCAGTGGTCAGCACAGGAGCTTTGGGAAAGCTCCTTCAAACATATTTATTTTCATCTCTCGGTAGCAAAACTCCTAATATGTTAACCTTAAATGGACAAAATAAATGGAAAAGAAAAGCCTCAGGGGATGTGTGTGACTGAGACTGAGGCAACTTCTAAAACCAGAAGAGATAAACAACCTCCAGAAAATGCGGATTATAAGGACCTTTCCCAAATTCAACTTCGTCATTCCTTTTGAAACCAGGCGACGCTGTGCTTAAAACTGCTTAAGGTTTTACAACTGAATGAGGAAGACAGTATTTGGACTAGAATAATAGTGATTGACAAAGACAACATCAAATACAGAAGGTTAACTCTCAGAATACAAAATCTGCTGATATACCGTAATAATGTTTTTGTACCAAGTTGCAGAACTAGTTATCAACATCTATTGTTTGAATTCAAATGCCAATATTTACAGAACATCTAACACTCAAAAAGTAAAATAGGATTAACAAGAACAAAGAAAGGCGCCACAAATCCTTCAGGTTTTCATCTTTAAAGTGATGTATCCTGTTACTTATAAATGTAATTTGTGAGGTTTTTCAACTTCCCATTGTTTTCGATGTCAAAATGTGAAATGACTAACTTCCTAATTAAGCAAGACATTTTCCAAGTCGTTAAAAGAAGAACCCCAGTGACTGAGCTCTCAAGAAGAACCTGAAACCGAAAGGCTTCTTGGATGACTAATAAAAATGCATGATTCTATTTCCATTATTTGTGCTAAGTCCATTAACAAATCCACGACTGAGAACTCTCTTTAGACAGTTCAAACTAAAGCGAATCTAATCTCTTTTGTTCTGCTCTGAAAAAGTGTCCTTGATTGTACTTACATAACAAGCACAGATTATTCTGGAAAGCATCAAATTCCTAGAGTCTTTGCATGCTACTAGAAAACAGTATTTCAAGTATTCTCTTCACTTGGAATTGAACCAGGGACGAGACTATGAGAACTGACCATAACATGGTCATGAGCCTTAGCAGATGGTCCATGGAGCAAAGAACTCTCCGAACATGAAGGGGGATCACATGATTTTCAATAGGTGCTAGGGGGTTGTATTTACTTTTGTCAAAGTTTCATATAAAAAGCAACTTCATATGTGTCCTAATTTGTGACAACAATGGATTTGTTTTACTTACGGGTTAGAGTAGCCTCCACTGCCAAAACACATATGGCAATAGACTGTGTTGATTGTTTGTGGAAGGGCTGTTAACAGCATGACTTCGGATCTATAGTCTTTTAATTCTGCTTGAATTTCTTTTTTTTTCTTTTCCTTTTTTTTTTTTTTTTTGAGAGGGAGTCTCACTCTGTTGCCCAGGCTAGAGGGCAGTGGCGCGATCTCGGCTCACTACAACCTCCACCTCCTGGGTTCAAGTGATTCTGCTGCCTCAGCCTCCTGAGTAGCTTGGGATTACAGGTGTGAGCCACCACGCCTGGCTAAATTTTGTACTTTTAGTAGAGTTGGAGTTTTACCATGTTGGTCAGGCTGGTCTCAAACTCCTGACCTCGTGATCCTCCTGCCTCGACCTCCCAAAGTGCTGGGATTACAGACGTGAGCACCACGCCTGGCCAATTCTGCTTGAATGTCTTCGGATTATCAGACATCTCACTTTTCTCTAAGTCAGAGCAGACTGTGTTCTCAACATGCATAAGAGAATAGACTGGGTAATTTAACTTTTGAAAGAGGGTCCTAAGGAGTTTAATCCTGCATGGGTATGAACATGCCTTTGTGCCTGTTGTCTTATAACTCTGCTTGAATTGTTTTGATTACCAGGCATCCCATTTTGAAGAGCAGCAGAGACAAAATCCTTTCCCCAGTGTTGGCCAAGAATTCTATGTAGGTCATTTTATTTTTGTAGACCTGAATTTAAGCACCAAGACCATGGATGAAACTAGAGGATTGAATTTTATCTCAGTTAATGTGAGGAGTTGCCCAAAAGATAACTTAAGCCAATACATTGCTACAGTTATTTTGAAATTAATATATTCACAGTTCATATATTATTCAAAAAAGGACATATTGATGTTTAAGTAGTAGGAAAACATTGCAGGATGTTAGTTTTTTTTTCACAGAGATGTATTTTAAACATGAGAATAAAAATACAATCATATTAAGGTTATGTACCAGATTTTAACTTGAATTTACTTATTTATTTTGAAATGGGATCATTTGTAGCACTCTTTTTAGGTAAACTGTCCTAAGTGATCAATGTATTATGCATCTGTCTGTCTCTGACTGTGGTAAAATAAGATGTATTCATAAATGCCAAATGATTTCACCTTTCAATTATAGTCAAATGACTTAATTCAGGTTGACATTCATCTTCACCTATCTTTCCTATATGTCAACATGCTGCTTTGAAATATTCACAGGAAAACTCCAAGTAGTTTGTTTTGTGAGTTTAGAAACTCTTTTCTGACTAGTTTCTCGAAATTGGCTCAGAGAGCCTTCTGCCTCTGAGTGGGTGGCACACA